GCCGCTTATCAATTAATCGTTAGTCGATCGATAAGATCAATCAACTTTAGATTAATTCATTAATCGATAACTTGCATCCCTAGTTGTAAACAAATATATTTATTTTGAGACTTTGTTTTTACTGAATAGATTGCTCTGTGGAGTGATGAGGAGTCTAGCTGGGTCTAAACGGGACACTTTCTGTAGAGCAAAGACAACAAAGCTTAGATGAAGCTTGTGGCAACAGAGGGCTTTACACATGTCATAGGCTGGAGTTAATAGGCTGGAGTTAGAGCCTCTAGTTTTCAGTCAGATAAATGAGTTTTCAGGACAAAACGAACCAGTGAGTTAGAGAAATAAAAACTGAGACTTTATTTCCCCACAGGAAGCTGCTAAGTTGGTCAATTGTTTTCAGATTCTAATAGACTGATGTCTYTTGCACATCTTTGTCCTTTTCTACAATAAACCTAAAACCTCCTGTGCACCAGAATCAGGAAGCTGTTTCATTCTGAAATGTTCTTTCGTTCTCAGTTAGTGATGCTGGTGAAAGAAAACCCGTTGCTCGCAGAAGTGGAGGCTCTGGACAAATGTCGACGGGTGATGGAGCTGATCTGTGAGAAATGCATCAAGCAGCAGGACATGAACGAGGTCTTGGCCATGAAGATGCACTACATCAGCTGCGTGCTGGGAAAATGTTCCTCCTTCCTCAAAGACCGTGAGGATAAGCTGGAAGGCCTCATAAAGAGGTGAGACCAGAGGACAAATATTCACCTCAGACTTATCAGAAAAAAAGGAGATTTTTGTTGGATTTTGGCAGCAGGACATGACATTTCATTACATTRAAGTGGTTTTTTTTAACCGTGAAGTTATGAAATCTTGAAATGTTTTGCCTTTTTTTAAATTCTGCTCCCTCAGTTTGCTGAAAGGTCGGGACGGCGATGGTTTTCCTGTGTTTCAGGAGAAGTTCATCAGAGAGTGCATCCGCAAGTTCCCGTACTGCGAGGCCACTCTGCTGCAGCAGCTGGTGCGCAGCATCGCTCCTGTGGAGATTGTGAGTTTTGTAAACCAGACTTCCTGATCTTTAAAACGTTTATTTACCCGTCTCTTTAAGAAGTGGGTTTAAAATAAAGGTTTAGCTTCTTAAAACTGGACTCAATCACTGTAATTGAAGTTAGTTGAGAAGATGTACTACTTTAAATGAAACCAATCATGGGTCCTAGAAATGTTTATGGCATGTCTGTGGGCTATCCAGACCATGTTCTTTCAATTTAATGCACAAAATAATTCTCAGATAATAACATTTCCCATTTTCTAGTTCTGCCTGCTCTGACTTCCGTTCAGAAGAGCTGTTTATGTTAATGAGCTCTGTTGGTAACGCCCTCCAAAAATCT